GTGTGAGTGTGTGTTACACGTGTAGTGTGAGTGTGTGTTACATGTGTGCAGCATTTTAAATTCCTTCTTTTGAACAAATTGTTTAAAAATGTAAAATGGCGCAAATCAACATGAGCTTCACATAGAAGAGGGAGGAAGACCAAATGTGTTGCGTCTGAGTGCATCCGTCAGTGTTCATTTTGGTGCAGTAGTGTTTGTATTATCTGTACTGTATCTCAAGACTTCTACCAGTGTGTGTGTGTGTGTGTGTTTTTGACATTCCTTTGAGCGTTGGGTCGTTGGGATTGAGGGGGTTAACCAGAGTTGCTCTGTTGTACTGAACGAGATGATTGAATGAGGGTGAAGGGACTTCTTTAAAGCAATGGGACAGAAAAGTAAGGAAACCACTAAACTCAAACTCCCAGAGTCCTTTGCTACAGTGAGCCGTTGTGTTTAGTTCTGGTTCCATTAGAGAGGTAAAGTCTTTTAGTTTGATGGTGTACTGTACAAGTGATCTGAAATATCTCAGTGTGTGAATGCAGATTAGGAGTGATGATTATTAATTATTGATTATCAGAATTTATATCTTTTTCTCTGATTACTTCTGTTCTGGAAGGTGTTTTCTTTAGTTTCCAACAGTAACATTTCTAACAGATGTGTCCTGCTCCAGACTTGTACTGTACATAGGCTAGTAGCTGTGTATATTAATATATTGGGAGTCGTCCCAAGTCTTTCTCACTCTGTACCCTCTCATGTTGGTTTTTCCTCCAATAAACAGTACATGTTGTCAAACAGAAGAGTACACACTGGGTCTTACTTTACATTTAAAACTCCTCATAAAGACTCCAAAGTTCCCATAAATATCCGAATAACCGGATAAAAAACCTCACAGATTGTACTGATAAATTGTATTTCTTCTCTTTAATGAATTCTGAATGTGTCATATTTGACACATTCAGAATTCTAATACAATTTTGAATTTTGAAGCTATTAAAAAGACACAACTACTAAACTCAAAAAGTGACCGTGTTTAGAGTGATTGGTTAGATGTTAACCAGGCTGAGTGACCTTACCTCCTTCTATTCCTGCTGTGTTTACTGTTGCAACTCTCCATTTCAGTCACATTGAAAGAATCAATGTAACATACAAAATGTGCATCTGGTGTGTGTTCATGTGCTGGGTATCAGCAGGGGGCGGCAGAGAGAGAGGGAGCGTTTCCCAAACTATGAATCCTGCAGAGAACTTCCACCCCAAAGCACAATGTACAAAACCTTGAACAGCTAACAGCAACAGCACCACTGATGTCTTTCATAGATGACAGAACCTAGAGTGTTTTTAAGAGATAACACATATTTCCTTTGCTGGAGCTCAGTTGCATTTCTTGAATGTTTCTTTAGGGATTTAAACGGTTCCAGTTAGTTAGCAGGTCTCTCATTGTGGATTCACTTTTAAGGTGGATTTATTTCCCAGGATAAACAATGGCGGATGTGTTCCAGTATAACAACAGGGTTCACGGAGGGCAGGAATGTTACCCATGACATTGGTAATAAAACTTTACAGCCAATAAACAGAGACACAATTAAAAGGCCACTTTCATTGATTCATCCTTTTTTCAGCCACTAGGGGGCAGACAAGCTCAACACACAGCTTAAGATGTCAGCAACCAGCTGGCTGCTTCCACACAGCAGCATGATGACTCATCAGGAGTCTTCATGTTTGTGTCACATGATAAATATCAGTCCAACATTCTCTCTCTTGTAGCTCTGTTTTTGGTCTCCACCACCTCCTGAGGGAAACATCTGTCTCTTTAGCTGCTACATGCTCCACTGTGCTCACCAGCGGAGTGTGTCTGCTGAGTGCACAGTGGCTTCATTCAGCTTGTTTTGATCAAGTGCAAAATGCAGAAGGGACAAAAACTGCAGTTCCTCAAATGGCCAATCGAGGCCGGCTCCAAAAGTGAGTCAATCCCCATAGACCCTCATGTTAAAAGGACCAATTGTACAGCAGAAATAAACATGAGACTTTCCCAAACCAGACTAGATATATGATCCCTCCAGCGTGTTCAGGGCCTCTTGCCCATTGGACGTGCCTGGAAAACCTCTAAAGGGAGGTGTCCAGGAAGATCCTGATCCAGATGATGAACTACTGTCCAGCTACTGTCTGAATTGGATAATGAGGGTCAGGTGTTGCACAGTGCTTGCTCTTCTCTCTCGCTGTAGGTGTCCTTGCTGACAGCAGAGCTGCATTTGGGAGCAGAGGTTTGTTAGCAGACGTGAACCTCGGCTTTCGTAAAGGGTGGTTCAACAGTGGTTCATGGCCAAAAGTCAAGACGCGGGGAGATGAACAACGGTCTAGGTTTCATTTAGGAAAAAAACTTGTATTGTTGTCACAAACCTCTGCAGCTTCAGGTATGAAGGATAAATGGCTCTTGGTTGGTTTGATGGAGGGTCTAAAGATAAGACAACACGATGTGTTTTGGCCGTAGAGACATTTCCTCATGGTATAGCTGTAGCAGCTGAGCATGTCACAAAGTCTTCCCCTCTGTCCTTTTCAGACCTACAGTCTCACAGCAGTTCATGAAACAGTCAGAAAATATAGATGAATGTTCTTTTTTGTGTCCTTTTGATGTGAAAAGATATGAAACATCATATTTTCTCACACTGCCTTTGTTTAGTGTTAAAAAGCTGCAGTGTCTCATATCATTCCAGGTGTGTTAATTGAGAAGTGATGACTCCTCCTCCACCTGTGTGTGACTCTTCAGCTGCACTTCATTTGGTTGAGCGACCTGTTTCTCACAAAGAGGTGGAGGAACCTGACGAAGCACCTTTTAACTACTGGCAAAGACTCTTCAGAACCTTTTTAGATTCAGCCATTCAGTCATGTGAACAATGTCTTCATCAGTTTAGATCATTTACTTCTGATGTCGGTGCTCGTGGTATTTTTACGAGACATCAATTTCACGCCGGTGTTTGAGAAGGAAGCTGGTCTCTGTCACCACAGCAACATCTTGTCACACAAGGACAAATGAGGTGAGCAGGTTGCAGGCGAGGATGTCTCCAACATTAAAAAAGAAGCTGGACAGTAATCATTGCACCGGGATTGAACAGAGAAGAGCACCAAACACGAGCAGCTAAAAACTCCAGCTCTTTCCTCCACGCCGGCTGATTGACAGGTGATATACAGTGAAGCAGGAACAGAAATATGAGCCACCTTTCTCTGATGTTTAATGGAAGGTGTGTGGAGGCCAGGGGCCCGCTGGCTGATGTGGATTCAGGTTTTGTTGTGGTTTTAATGAGTCTGGCTTCTGCTACAGCTGCTTTACAGCAGGAATGAGCTGTTCTACAGATGGACGGATGAGGTGACGAGTCACGCTTTCATTGAAATGTTCTGAGTATGCAACTGATACGGAGGAAGGGTTACATTCTTTAAGTCTTTACTCAAACCGCAAAGTGTCTGCAGACGTCCATCCCAGAACCCCCTCTGTTTTTATCCTTTATTTAGGTCTTTCCCAAAAGTCTGGGTGAGGATTTGGCCATTGAGTATGTTTGAAAAGTCAGTCTGGTCTCATCCAGCATTCGTAGCTATACCTTCAAAATATAATGTGCCGTAATTCGTAGATATCCCAAGAAATAATTTCGTATGTTATCCACGTAATCATGACCGAGGAAGTATAAAGACTGCAAAAACACGGACATAAGTGAATCAGGCCACTGAGAGGCCGCTGTTCAATCCCCATGTGAGAGTCAACGTTGATTTATTTATCACGTAACTTGCCTTCTTCAGTAACGCTACTTCCGTGGTTGTTTTAACCAGGGAGTAAGAGTGAAGCCAAAGCTTCATGTGTTAAAGC